CTCTTAGTGAGTTGTACCATGGGCCGCTTGGAGGCGCACCGCGCGCTGAGACGCTGTGGCGCTCCCTCGTGCCGCGTTTGCGTGCGGCCGGCGTGAGTGAAGTTGCGCTATCTGCTCTGTTTGCGCGCATCGTACGGGCGCAACTGCGGGCGCGTCATGCGCCGCTGCATGAGACGCTTCCCAGCACCTCTGCGGCGCCTGTGCGTTTTGCCCTGGATGCGCGGACTCGCGCACTATGGCAGCGTTCGAACGAGGCGCGCCCTCCGCTCTTGTCGTCGGAAGACCAAGCGCGCTTTGCGCGATACGCCGAGGCGCACGATCTGATGCGCATGCGCAGTGTGCTGATGGGCGCCTTGGCGCGTGGCTTTGTACCGCCCTTGGAGCTGCTGGCCTCCCTGCTGGTCATGGCCACGGCGCATACCCACATTCCGAACTCGGGCACGCCGCTGTGCTCGACGGGTGCCTACCTCCGTCCCTTGCGCAGACGACTTCAGCCCTATCCGGGGCTTTGGGAGACAGCCATGCTTCGTGCCCGTGAAAAAGCAGGCGACTGGCGCGGCGCTTTGCGGCTGTGGCAGGCACGATTCGTGCCGAGCCCTGCTGTGCGTGTGGCCTCGATCCAGGCGCTGCTGGACACGCCGGAGCCAGCACGAAACGATGCGACCTATGCCTCTACGGTGGCGCGCAACAGTGCAGCGCGGCCGGCCGCGCAGCGCGCGGTGCGCACGCGCCTTGTGCCGACGTCCTACGCCGTGGCCACGGCGCTGCGTGCGCTCGTTCAGGCGTGTGGACCACAAGCCGAGCCCTTGGCGCAGGCGTATGCGGCGCTGGTGGCGCACGCTCGCGCCACATCTTCGGTGCGCGCCGCGTGCTTTGAAGCCTTTATTCCCATGATGAGTCGTGCAAATCCTGTGGGCTTTGTGCGCACGACGTCCTTTACGCGTGTACCGACGCTGTACACCATGCGCCAGGATATGCGGGCGTGTGGTGTGGAGCCACGTGCGACGACGTGGACGCTGTGGCTGCAAGCTTTGACGCGGGCGCGTGGACGGCGTGCGTGGCGTGCGGTGGCTACGCTGCTATCGGCCATGGAAGGCGCGCCGACATCCGAGGCCGCGCAGGCTCTCTCGCTACCCCAAGCCACCACTCGCACCTACCTGGGCGCGCTACACGTGCTGCGCCGTGTGCGGCCCAGCGCGCGCGTGCGGCGACGTACGGCGCAGGTGGAAGCGCGCATGCAAAGGAGAGGCTACGAGGACTCTGTACAGGCAAACCACGAGGAGGCTAGTCGACGCGCTTGATAGGATGGAGCATAGACGGTGCGCGACACACGTCTGCATTCTTTTTCCAGCCCATGTAGAGTTCTTTGGCGTGCTGGGCGTGGTAGTAGAACGACGAGTCCTTGTGCAGATTCTCGTTCTTCTTCTCGTAAAAGTCCTGGCGATTGAGCAAGCGGTTGAGCTCGTGAATGTCCCACTCGTGGCGGAAGTAGATGGGGTGCGGCGCAAACACACCCTTGAAGGGGATCGGCAGCGTATAGCTAAAGCCGGCCTCGGGGTAGAAGGAATGGTCGTGCGACAGGGGCATCTGGGAGTGGAGGACCAGCGTGGTGGGCCATGCCTCGCAGTGGAGGCTCTTTTTCGCCTCGGCGTTGACGACGTTCATCGCCTCGAGCAAGCCGCGGCTCAGACGCATGTTCGTGCCGATGGAGGCGCGGCGGTCGGTATCCTTACCGCGGGGGTAGTTCTGCACGTCATGCGTCCAGTACCAGCCACTGCCGCGCGGGTCAAAGATGGGGCCGAGCGTGATCATATCGGCCTCCTCGCCCACCTTGGTGCTCGAGTTGGTCGGTGCGCGCCAGATGCGCTCCGACTCGGGCACACCGGGCATGTACCACGTCTCGTACTTGTGCATGCCGGGGTTCAGTGGCTCCTGCCGCGCGTAGTTTTCGATTCCTTCGAAAAAGTCGAGGTAGTTGCCAATGTAACGCACGTCCATCTCCCAGTTGTACACGTAGTCGTACTCTTGGTGGTCGAGCCAGAACTTTTGCAGCGCCATGAGGCACGCACGGTAGGAGGTCTGCGCAATCATATTGTTGATGAAACGACCCGGCAAGCCGGCGTACAGCACCTCGAGCTGCTTCTCGGACCAGAATTCCACCAGACCCCAAAATTCGCGCGGCACACTGCTGACGAGCACGCGGTAGCGGTCCCACTCGGAGGTAAACACACTGAGCGCACGGTCTTTGACTTCGACGAGGATGCGCACGTCGTACGGCGTGTTGGGATTGTTCAGCGAGAGCTCACTGATCATCGCACGCAGGTTCAGAATGTCGTCCTCCCGCCACGGGTACCCCTCGTACGCACGCATGACAATGGCCATGCGCTTTACCGCGGGGTTCGTGCGGTGCTGATTGCCATCCCACGTCGACGCATTCCATCCCTGCCGCTGCACATGCCGCGCATAGCACGCGTCCATGATCTCGCGCCAGTTCGGCACACTAACGCGGCGCGGATCGCGCGTGTTTTGGTGCATGAGACGTTCGCGCAACAGGTCCTCGTACTTGTCCGTGGGCATATGTTCCGGCTTGGGAATGCCATACAATGGGTCGTAGTTTACCGTGCCGCGCGGCGCCGTTCCTTTGACTTGACGCATGGGCCATGGGTTGTCAGGATCCTCGTCCACCGACTCTTCCGTGGCCGGCAGCAGCTCCTCAGGCAATCGGTAGGTGATCTTGAGCGCCTTGTCGGTGTACATGCCGTACCGCTCCTCGTACGTGATACACTGGTCGCCATTCACACCCACCAGCTTGTAGTCACCGACAATCGGCTTAGGATGCGATGCGGGCGTCGGGTGTGCGTTGGAGGGCGACAGCGGCACCGGCACACCATTCGGGCCGGGACACTGATCCAGCTTCGGGGGAAGGATCGGATGCAGCGGACGCATGGAGATTGGACGCCCACTTGCGTCCAGCGGCACACGCACATTCGGGTCCACGCGGTAGTAGGCCATCTCGTGCCACTCGGGGCGACCCACGTTGAGCACCATCAGGCCCAGAATCGCACCGAACGTGGCCACCGTCACAATCGTCTTCCAGCGGCGCATGGCCCAGTGTACGATGTAAAGGACCAAGAATGGAATCAGTCCAGCCAATCCTACGCGCTCGTAGTCCCGCGTCGCGCGCTCCCGCGGCGTCAGAAACGGCTGCGAGGCAGGGCTCGGCAGCTCCTCGTCCGAGCCTGTGGGGGCATCCAGCGTGTCGTACGGGCGGAACTGGTAGCGCTGTGAAAGCAACACAGATGAATTCTCCTCTGCCATCCCCGTGTCGACCACCGACACGGGCACAGCGTCCTTGCTTGCCCTCATGGGCACGTCCCCAGCCTCGCTCATCGTGGCAGCCGCCAAGGACGACCGCCCCTTGCCGAAACAGGTACTCGGCCGAGAAACACTATAGGTCCGTCGCGCGCGTGGCGCGTCAAGCATCGACCGCGCCACGCCGGCGTGACGTGCGTATGTACGGCAGCTCACTCGCACTGTCGTCCCAGTCGCTCGTAGGATGGTAGGCAGTCCCGTATTTCAGGGCTGCGTCGGCGGCCTCGGCGGCCGCATTGCGCCGGGACCGGCTGCGTGTGTGATACGTCCGACGAGAAGGCCAAGATCCGGCGTACGCATCGAGCTTGTCGGTGCTTTCCAGCGACGTGGGACTCCTGTAGATGTGTTGGGGCGGTGGCGGCGCCGATGCGAATGTGTTTTGGTCGTACGTGCTCTGGTCCTCGGGCCATGCCGCAGCGTCGGTGCTTGCCAAGGCCGCGTCGGTGGCCGGCGCCCTCGACGCAATGGGGTTGTAGGGCGTCTGCCATGATGAGGGTTCCTCTTGTGCCATGTATGCCGTATGGGGCTCCTGCTCCAGGTACGGCGCGAGTGTATCGGTGGTGTAGTAGGTCGGTGAGAGCGCCGGCGCTGGGGACATGTACGTGGCGTCCTGCGCCGCGTACGTGGTCGGCTCCGTCACTGGCGGCTCCGTAGCAGGGGCCTGCCTACTGGGCGGCTCAGCCGCCAAGGTGGGCGTAGTCGCCATGCCCTGCTCCGTGCGTCCTGATGGCTTCCAGCGAGAGAGTAGGTAGGCAAGCAGTGCAATTAGCGCTAGTCCCACAAAGGCGCCAATCGCAATACCGGCAATCGCACCCCCGCTCAAGCTCGAGCCGTCGTTCGAGGCATTCACCATGGGCGCCGTACCGGCCGTGCTGGTAGGTGCTCTTTTGGTGGATGCGGCTGATCCCAGGTGCCGTATGGTGGACGCGGAGGCTACGCTTTGCGTGGTGGACGATGCATGCTTCGATGACGAGTGCGTGGACAAGGCGGAAGAGCGGTGCGTAGTACGAGGCGCGGCTCCTTGGGCACGACTGGACGGCGGCCGCGATGCCTTCTTGGAGGGTGTATGCTTGGGCGGCGGCGGTTTTGGTGAGCTTGGCTGTGTGTGCGGCGGGGCATTGGCAGGCCGCTGGGCGCTGCTTTTCGGTGCAGTGGCGTGCTCGTGCGGCTTGGGCGTATGTGGAGCGGCCTCCGACGAAGGGGCAGGGATCGCACGCTGCGCCACTTGACGATGGCGCCGGCTCATACCCACGTCCCACATGATATGTATCCCCAGGTGTGAGCGAAGCTCCACCAAGGATGACGACCGAGGTGGGTGGGGTTCCATGGCCGTACGCCGCGCCCTACTTGCATGCAGGTGGCGCAGGAAAAGGGGCTTGTGCTTACTTAATAGGAGGCCGGCCTTACGCCGGCGCTGCCGCAAGGGGCGTCATCTACACAACGGTCGTTGTATCTTGCATGACTGACTTGCGATGTCCATTGTGCTCTCCTGTCGTAGTGTGTGAAGAAAGTGGGCGAAGGAGGCGGAGATGGGAGACAGAGGAGTGGGTGCCTAGGCTGGTCGTTCGAGCGTGGGCACATGGCCCACCTGTTCATAGAGCCACATGTGCTCGGTTTCCCGATATTCTTCTCCCGTCGTCTAGTTGGTTTATGACACGGTGCTTATAGAGGTCCTGCCTGGTGGCCCCTGTGCACGGCCCGCTGAAAGACGCGGAGAGAAACGCCGTTGTCCGGGGTTCGAGTCCCCGCGGGAGAATCTTTTGGGCGAGGGCGCCCGTGCGCCGTTGGCGCGCTGGATCGATCATGTCGTGGGAGACTAGTTTGACCCAGCTGGCTGGCCGCCTCCCGCCATGGCGCTCTTCTGCGTATGTACTGGGCATGATGCTCGGTGCCTACACAGGCTTTTGGTGCCTGCAGGAACTGACACGAGCGTGGGTGCTATCTGCGCGACGTCGTCGGCACCCGGTGCGCTCGCGCGCGGATGCTGCGTGCACGGACGATGCATGGCTGGGCCATGCTGACGAGAAGGCACGCCAACACATTGTGGCGCGGTTCCAGCCTTTCTTTTTCCTAGGACGGTCTCTCAATGTGGCGCCTGCTGAACGAAGGGGCGTGCCCTCTTGGGGGGGACGTGTGTGGCGCTACGTACAGCGCCCTTGGCGCTCAAGCCATCCGCCGCTCGAGGCGCAGCAGTGTGTGCATCCTGTGTCGATGGAGCAGCTATGGGGCCTTCCTGCACCGGCAGCCAAGCCCTGGGCGACTAAGGCAGCGGCGCCAGGCCGGGGCTGCTCCTACACATGGCTCGCGCCGAATACGTGCCTCGTTCAAATGCATGGGCTCACGCTCCTGACCGAGCCTGTGTCCATGTCAACACCGCGTGACCCGTGCACCATGACGGAGCTCCTGGCCCAGGGCCACATCGATGTGATCCTTGTCATGGCGCACCTGGACCTCTCGCTGGTGCCGCATGTGCCTCGTACAACGAGGTGGATCGTGCCTCGCGGCGTGGGTGCGTACCTTACGCGACGCGGCGTGGATGCAGCGCAGGTGATAGAGCTGACTTGGTGGGACGAGACGCATGCGCCGTTCACGGTGCCTGTACGCGAGGCTGCTCCGGCGTCCGTGCGCGACGCAGAACGCCGCCTCGATGTGGCGGCGGTGCCAACGAGTCATACGAGTGGGCACACGCTTTGCCAGTCGTACGTCGTGCGCTGCGCTGCGCGAGGCCAGCGCACCCTCTCGTTCTTCTTGGGCGGCGACTCGGGCTACCACCAGGCCCTCTCTGCATCGATCGGGCATATGTACGGCCCGTTCGAGGGCGCCTCGTTCCCGATCGATGGGCCGGGCGACCTGGGCGTTCGAGTTTTGATGGATGGACGCCAGGCCATGCAGGCTGCCCAGGACCTCGGTGCCTCGCAGTGCTATGGACGCCCGCGAAGCCACGGGGCATGGGCGGACACACAGGGCGTGCAAATCGTGCCGCGCGGCAAGACGCAAGTCGTGGCGAGCGTCTAGAGGCTACGAATGTGGCGCAAGGAACGAGGCGGCTGCTCCGACATCACAGCGCCCATGAGCCTGCGCCGCACGCGGGACGGAAGGCCTCCCGCGCGCTTCGTGTGCCGCCTGTGGTGGACTATCACGCAAAGAGATAGCGCCACCACGTGGGGCTAGGGGCAAAGGCATACAGTCTAGTTAGTGTACGACGGCGCCAGCGCTGGCGGGGAAGGGGAACGACGCCTGCTTCTGGTGCTGGCCGCGCTCCCACGCCGAGGCAAGCGGCAGGGAGCGGCCGAGTGTGTCTTCCTTCTTGACTTGGTATATGCGGACCAGCCAGTTCTCGCTGGTGAACACCTCCTCGAGCGTGTCCAGCTCGGGCGACTTGGACGGGCCGTGCGAGCCACGCGCCCGGTCCTGGCCGGGGCCGCCGCCAAACAGGTCGTTGAAGCGGTAGTAGCTCATCTTGTACATGAGACTCTCGCGCATCGTGGGACTTGCTTGGTCGTCCACGGCATAGTCGCCCGTGGCGCTAAAGAATTTGGACTCGACAATCTCCTTGGGCCAAATGCCTTGCGAGATACGGATCATCCACAAGAACTTGTTCAGGTCGTCGCCGCTAAAGCCAAGCAGACCACCAAAGATGATCAGCACATAGTCGACGTCGTGCTTGCGCAGAATCGGATACGCCTTGTCCTCCGGCGACGCCATTGCTTTGCCGACCGTGGCAATGTGCGTGTTGTTCCACGTGTTGTTGTCGACCAGGGTCGTGCGGTCGGCAAAGCCGGCAATCTGGTAGCCATAGTCCCACCAGCTCATGACTTTGGCGTCCTTGGGCGTGTTCTCGCGCAGCCAGTAGTACGCTTCGCGGAAGTCGTCAATGATCACCTGCGAGCCGTCGGGCGACTGCGACGCCAGCACAACCGATGGCGACGAGTAGGCCGACGAGGTAATGTACGTGCAGTGCAGCACAAACAGCTGCAGCATGACCACCACCGCACCGACGACCAGCAAGCGCATGTCCATCGGCACGGCCTTGATGCGACGGCCCGCACCGTCGACAGGCCGGCCGACGTACACATCGAGCAACGTGCTGAGGGCCACCGCCGCACACACACACACACACGGCGTGTGGGTGAGCATGAGACGCACCATGACGCCGGAGAAGTAGGAGCCCATCACCGCATAGATCACCACAAACACCTGCTCATCGCGCAGCTCGCGGAAGAGGAGGAACACACCGACCGGGAAGAGGAACACGAGGCAGTGCAAATCCATAAAGTACGAGGGCCACGACGGCGGCTGGTGCTCCGACACCGAGGCAATGATGGGAATGTGCTTCTTAGCGTACGACGTGTCCCACAGCGAGTAGAAACGGCCCGTCCACGGCGCAATGTACCCCGCCGAGGTGAGCAAAACGAGCGCGACAAACGCGCCTACAGCCACGATGGCCACAGCGCTGCGCACAAGCACCTTGAACTGCGCCGAGGAGACGTACTGCCGCACCGTCTCGGTGAGCGCAATGAGCTGCAACAAGCCAAACACACCCAAAGCGGCCATGTGCTCGGATGTGCGCACGGGCTGGAAACCGACGAACGGAATCTGCATGCTGGCCAGCGTGCCAATGACGTAGTAGCTCGAGTAGGCCACATACAGCCTCTCACTAAAGCGGCCCATCAAGATCAGCACAAACGCATGCAGCGGGATCATGTTCGTGATAAAGACATAGCCACCCCACGCGGCGACCATGTAAAAGTAGAACATCGCCGTAAGCACACCGTACAAAATAGAGCCGTCACGCACGGCCCGCACCCACAGGTAGAAGGTGAAGAGCAAGAGGAAGATGGCAATCGCCTCGTTGTCGTACGAACCTGCCACCGAACGCGAGATGTAACCCGGCGCAATGGCCACGAACAGCGCGCCAAGCAGGCCCGCCGACTTGTCCTTCATCGTAGAAGTGAACAGGTACGCAGCGATCACCGTAAAGATACTGAACAGCGGCGCGAGCATCACACAAATGTCACGGATGTTCACCGGAATATGGAAAAAGTGCAGAATGTTGTACAGCGTGCCACTAGTGATCATCAGGCCGGGGAAGACAGTGCCACCAGCCGCACGACCCAGCGGGTACCACGCCGTAGGATCGAACCAGTTCCAGAAACGGTAGTAGCCGTCCTTCGTCAGCACCTTGGTGGCACGGAAGTTGAACCACGGGTCAAACTCGTGGATGATCGACTCGTACCGCACCACCGCAAACAGGCGCGACGACACAGCCGCTCCTGCAATCATCAGAAGAATTATCACACGCAGCAGCGACGCTGCATGTTGCTTCGTCTCCAGCGAAGCCCACGCCATGGCGGTCGGTGTCCCAGGGCCAGCGATGCACCGGGCGCGGTCCTCTTGTCACGTGGTGCACGTGCCTCTTCCCCACCCTGGCGCGAGCTGTGAGCGGCTTTCCATGGCGCCCCTCGTCGCGGCGCGCGCTTACCCGATTGTTGGCGGTAGTGACGATGCGTGGGATACTGTGTACGTAAATGCAGCGCTGGAGGACCAACTGCGCGCACACGAAGCGAGCGCGGCGCCTCTCGCGGTGTCTCTGGCCTCGGTCGAGGATGCGCAGGCGACTCGCACCGCCCTTGGCACCGCGGGGCGCCTCGTGTGGGCGCGGCCTGCGCCCCCGGAGCTCGAGGCAGCCGCCAAAATTGGGCCGCAGGACTATGCGGTGTTTGTGCCGCATGGCCGCGCGGAGCTCGTGGCGCTGCATCCCGTGGAACCGGTGCCACTGACGGCGGCGTACCTGGCTGTGGCGCCGTCGCACTACGACACACTGGCGCATGCCCATGAAACTCTGCTACATGCTATGAACGGGCGTTTTCTGCATACAGGGCGGACTTGCACATGGGATCATGTGCCTGTACGCACTGTGATGACGGAGCCTGTGGCCCAAGGCAGGGTGGTCGCTGGCACGACGCAAGTCTACCTGCTGTGCGATACAGCGCCGCCCGTGACACCTACGTGCGACGAAGAGGCTACGGCGCCCCTCCGTATCAGCGAGCGCTTTCTTGCGCGCGACCCAGCACCGCCTCTCTCGTTGGAGGCCCGCTGCGTGCCGTCCAAGCACACAGTGCGCGAGACCCTACGGGCATGGAAGCAGCGCGGGAACCACGTGTATGTTGACGAGGAAAGTGTTGTGCTCGTCAACGAAGCGACGCTTGCCGAGCTTGGCATCTTTGATGGCGATTGGGCCGTGGCTAGCGTCTTGAGCGAATCGCGCGCACGTTTGGTGCGCGTATTCGCCTCCGACGCCGCCTTGCGCGCCGACGAAGCTTTTATCCCGCCTATGCTCTCGCTGAACCTTGTGCCTGCTGAGACACACGATCCACTGCGCACGCTCACATTGTGCCTCGAGCCGCTGCCGCCGCATGTCACGGACGAGGCCGCCAGCGTAGCGGATTTGCGCATCGCTGGCTCGCCGGCCAAACCGCCGCTGATGCCCCTGGCCGAGTGTATGCAGCTGTCGCTCGTGGCCACACCCATTTCCACCGATCGCGCGTACGAGGCACAGTGCATGCAAGCTTTGCAGGCCTACCTTGCGGAGCAACCCCGCATCTTACAGGAAGGCGACGTACTTGCCGTGGCACTCGTAAGCGGCCAAGCGCGTTTCCACCACATCGATGCCGAGCGCACCGCCTCTCTGAGCGAGGCGGCGCACGCTGATGTGGCGTCTGCCGACTTGCCAGGCCTAGCGCCGACGTACTGGCG